GGAAAGGGGGTAAGAGAGTTAACACAGAGACTCTGGGATCTGGTGAGAGAACTGGCTGGAGACCCACCTCAGGTCATTGTCCAGTAGCTCAGTTTATTTTTGGAATGCATACAGTTGTTATAGTGTTTGAGTGGGCATGCCCATCAATCATACACAAGCAAGATAGTATCCATAAGCCAATCATCTTATGCCTAATGTAACCACACAGGAGGATGTTCTAAATATTGCTATCATCAGGAAGGGTCTCTGTCCCAAGGGGAGGGGGTTTCTAAGTTAGGAGTTCCATTCCTGAAGCTCCCGGCTATCAGATTCCAGCCTGGCAGCTTGGCAATGCTAACCACAGTGCTAAGGATGTGGTTTCATTGACGGCTCCCTAGAGCAGAGCATCTCATCCTGCAGGCCTTCCTATCAGGCCTGAATGAGTGCAGATTCTTCAAGCACTCTGAGCTGCTCATAGCTGCTAGCTGCTAGTTGTAAATTGAAAGTTATTCCAACACTGGGGGCTCCTTTAGAATTCCCCTAGGGGTGTCAAAATTTGTAACTGAAAGTTYTGTTCCTGACCTTGAAGCCAATTAATGTCAATTTAATAAGGAGGACAGGGTTTTGAGAAAAAGAAAAAGGGAGGTTTTTTGCTTTGCTAACAAAGGAGAAGCACAAGGGACTCTGACCCAAAGGTTGAGACTCTTGATCTGGAGGGACAAGGGTTTTAAAGGAGTTTCACTTGTTAATTTGGGAGATATTCAGTTTTTAGATCCCCAGCAGGCATTTCCCTCTGCAGTGGGTGTACTTAGACAGTGAACTAGGGGAAGGGAAGAAAATATTGCATTCCTAATCCTGCTTAACAAAGGGGGGTAAAGTCTATCACAGTTCCTTAAAACGCATTTCAAGGGGATATCAGGCTTACTTGATTTATTACCCATTTTCATATCCAATTTCTTTAAGTTTTTACCACAGTAGTCATACAACAAAAGGCAAAACAATATATAGAACACAGAACAAAATACAAGAAAACAGAATCCTGGTGCCGAAACCAAAAAACTGAGGAGCAATGCAACATCTTGCTAAAGCTCCCAGGGTATGAGCATGTGTGTGCTCATTGGCACCTCACTACCCTTCCAGAGGAATTCCCTACAGAACAGTATAGAGGACAGAATGATATCTCATTACTGTCCCGTCCAGAAGTATATGTGTACCTCGCCAATCACAAGACATCTCTCTAAACAGAATACCAGATATTATAAAGGTGCCACTTACAAATGGAGGCCTCCTTCACCAGATGCTAATTGTTTTAGGTGGCAGTTCACTGCAGTACTCTGGGGACTGAAGGCTCACTCTGAGGCCTAGGRATGTCTCAAGGTGTGTACCCCCTAGAGTGGCTCTCCATCCCRAAGCCCTGGAGYGAAGGCCGGCTTTAGAATTTCTAGCAGTCTGGTCTTGTGGTCTGGTGTGGCAGGTTCATTTCGCTGTGGCATTCAAAATATTAGACCAAGAGACAAGGAAAAGACCACTGACTCCATTTAAAATCATATTAAAGCAAGCTTATTATTTCAACCGGCCAGGCTGCCTCTCCCAACAAAAAACAAGGGGAACAAGACAGCACTGCAGCTTTCCGGCAGCTCAACTTTATAGCCCAGATAGTTACAAAAAGGGRGGTTACAGATAACAAAACTGAGACAAGCCTAACACAAAGGCTACTTTACATTTTTTTCTGACTCTGACATCAGAATTTATGAAGGTCATTAGAGCCTCAGAGAGGGTCATTATCTGGCCAGGGAAGGCCAAGATTTATGAGACATCCCTAAAGTTTCAGAGAGGGCTGGTATCTGGTAAGGGAAAGCCAGGCATGTGTGAGTGCAAGGCACAGGCAGGCATTCCAAGCAAGTTCAGAATTTGCAGTAATTTATAAAAAGCTGAAGTTAGCTTTCATGTCCTTGTGGTGAGATGGCTCCCAATTTTAATAGGGAATCAGATTGGGTTTATCATCACCAGGTCTCCTTGCTCACAGGAGAGCTCATCAGTGTTTCCTAAAATTCAATGGTAAGTTTTCAGAGGCCTTCTGTGTCCATCATCAGACTTTCCAGATCACTGGCAAATATGTCATAATGACCCCTCATGACCCTGTATTTCTGTGCTTGGGTTACAATGTCTCCCTTTATATCTCACTTTTTCTCTGATTTTATTTATTTGCATTTTCTATCCTTTTTTCTTGAATAGTCTCAGCAGAGATCTGTCCATTTTATTTATCTTTAAAATTGAAAGCTCTTTTCATTGATATTCTGTAGATTGTATTCTCTGTTTCATTTATATCCACTTTAGCTTTGCTTTTCCTTCCCTCCTGGTACCTGTAACTTGGTTCCTTCTTGCCTTCTAGCTGGGTGAGCTGGGGCTGCTGTCTATCCTGAGTCTCTGTGTCCTGAGAGGAGGCTCTGACCACTCTGACCTTCCCCGGGTGCTTTTTGCTCTTTCCTGCAGGTGTTTCTACGCTGAGCTTCCACTTTGGTCTGCTCCAAGCACTTTTACACTTCTTGCTCTTTCCTCATTATGGTTTGGGTGTTCCAGTTATGTGCACATCCCTACAGAGGTGCACACTCCCCTCAGAGGTGCACACTCCTCTACAGAGGTGCACACTCCTCTACAAATGTGCACACTCCCCTAAAGAGGTGCACATTCCCCTACAGAGGTGCACACTCCCTACTGAGGTGCACACTCCTCTATAGAGCTGCACACTCCCCTACAGAGGTGCACACTCCTCTACAGAGGTGCACACTGCCCTGCAGAGGTGCACACTACCCTACTTAGGTACACACTCCCCTACAGAAGTGCACATTCCCTACAGAGGTGCACACTTCTCTAGAGAGGTGCACACTCCCCTACTGAGGTGCACACTACTCTACTGAGGTGCACACTCCACTGCAGAGGGGCACACTACCCTCCAGAGGTGCACACTGCCCTACAGAGGTGCACACTCCCCTACAGAGGTGCACATTCCTCTACAGAGGTGCACACTTCCCTAGTGAGGTGCACACTCCCCTACAGAGGTGCGCACTCCCCTAGGAGGTACACACTGCCCCACAGAGGTGCAAATTCCCCTACTGAGGTGCACACTCCCTTACTGAGGTGCATCATGTAGACTCCTCCTGGTGTTGTATACAATTCACAGTTTCCACCCCCAAAAGTCCAAGACCTACATGAGAAACCTCAAGGAAAGCCTTAAACCTGTTCATAAAATAGAGAAATATATGAATTAGAGTGGACTTTGGTGTATATGAGCTGTCTGTCCCTAACAATGGGGCTCTGTGACACACACCCCACACCAAGGCCTCCAAAAGGTGGAGATGTCCCCACCTCATGCAGCTGTGCATGGCTTGTGGATGGGGGTGGCCTGATCAAGATCTCAGAGAGAAAGGGGCTTCCTTGGCAAAGACCCAGGAGGGAGGGTGGTCAGAACTGCACTGATTGTGGGAGTTTACAGTTGGCTCTGCCACTGGCCTCAAGACCATGAAAACGCACAGTGCCCAGGACCACTCTGACCCCATCTTTATGTTAGGTGACCCCAAGCCTGAAAAGCCCCAGGACACCTGGTTGCTTGGGGGAAGCAGCTTGGAGCCTGCCTGGGTTTCCAGCCACTGTGGCTGCATTGCAGGGTCACAGACAGGGACACCTCAGCTCTGTTCCTGCTCATGTCAGTGCACAGCCTATCCTGAGAGTCCAGTGCCAGTCTGGGTGAGGATGAGAAGTGGCAATTTTTGTATCCCAGTTAGTCTTAGATACTCGTGCTTCATTCTAGAAAGTTAAATTCTTTTTTTTTTCCAAAAGATGTTTATTGGTGGTTAAAACACTGATTTTTGTATACAAAACTTATAAGTCCCTCATTTAGTCTTTTATATTTTATATCAATTTAAGACATTTATGTGCCAATCAACAATACTTTTATATTTTTAATATTTTATTTGAGCAGGGTAATTATATATAATTATGTGGTTTACATTGGAATATCCAAAATTCAAAATGCAAACACAAATTTTTTTTAGGAGAGTCATTTCTTCCTGCCTGTGTTTTCTCTATGAAATTTCTCCAACTTTATCTCTATGAAATTTTTCCAACTATTTACTTTCCCAGTGGATTAGTTTCTGTCTCCTGTGTCTCACTGAATCCTCTGGATTTTCTGTGGTGGCCTCATTCAGCTCCTTCCTGGCCAAAGTGAATCCTGGGATCACTTTCCCTAAACAAGACAYCCCTCATTGCACACAGTCTGTATTTGATTGATTAAATCTGCTTAGATTTGGAAAGTGGGAAACAGGGATTGAATTCAGGGGGTCTTGCCCACATCACCTACTGTTCTGTACTTTATTTAGAAATAGGGATTTAATGAGTTTTTAGTGCCTCACTGTTGCTGAGTCAGGCTTTTAATTGTGAATCTCCTGCCTCAGCCTCACAAGCCACTGGGAGTACAGGTGTGCAACACTGCACCTGGCTTATGCCTGGTTTTATAAGTATAAAATTAGGACTTCGATACATAAACTAGATTTAGAGATTTGACAGTTTAACACGTTTTGAAGGTTGTGAGTGAGAAAAGAGGTGTTCTATGCTGTAGACTTTCTCATATGAGGGTGTTTCATCATCAACATCACTAAGAATGTCAGCATCTCTCCCCATCATACAACAGCTGGCCATTCCAGCTGTATTTCATACTTACACTGAAACCTAGCTCTAGTGAGGCAGAGGACAGTACCCTGACACAGGGGTGCCAGGTGCCATGATGGGTCCCAGGCTGTGCACACCCAGCTGTCCATCACCTGTCCCTACTGGGAATGGGGAGCCCACCAGCTGCTCTGCCCCAGTCACTGTGAAGCACAGCCTGGCTGTGGGCCACAGGTGCCCTGTGAGTTGCAGAGCCCCAGGACAAGGCCCTCTCTGCAAGTGGCCCTCACCACCCACCCTCACCCTTGTCCTCCCTGCACCTTCCCATCTCCAGCGCCCACTGTCCTCTCTCTTTCCAGGACCTAATGCAGAAGCTTCCCCACATGAGGGATGGTGTGGTGATGGTCTCCCTCTGCCTGACCCATTTCAGCTAGGTCCATGTGCTCCAGGGCCATGCCCAGGGCCAACAGGGCAGGATGCCATTCTTGTTGTCTAACTCTATTCCCCTGTGGACAGTATATTATCCACATCTCCTTTAAAGGTCAATGTAGTGGTCATGAAAAGGTCCTCAACACTTATGGAACTTTAGTTTTAAATGGGCCTTATGAGCTCCATATCATATGTGATGTGGACACTGAAAATAGGTCCTGTCCCAAGCCTCAGGCTGTCCAATGCCATGTCTCTGCTGACCTTAGGCCACACTGCACAAGGTGGGCTCCCTGACTGCTGCTCTCCACACTGGCCCTGCAGCTGGCAGACCAACACTTCTGGGCCTTAAAGGTCATGCTCCCAGGCTCCACTAGCATGGCGTATGGAGACTGTAGGGGTTACACATACAAAGCTCTGCCTAAACAGAGGCCATCTACCGAACCTACCCAGGGCATCCCCTGGAAGGCAGGTGGAGATGAACCACCTCCACACTATGGCACCCTGGGTCCTGCAAGGTTGGCTCCTTGGTGATTATTCCATCTCCCAGATCAGAGTTAGCACAGACCAACCCTTTACCCAGTCCCAGGGCTGTGTCCACACCTTTAGATGGTCACTATGATCACCTCAGACCCCAGCACCAGTGTGGCTGAGTCCAGTCTGTGCTGCTCTGAGCAGCTCCTGAGGCTGAGGGTTCACAAGGAGAGAGATGTGCTGCAGCAGGTTTTGGAGACCAGGGTGCAAACACCCAGGTGCTGCTCCTGACCAGGGCTCCTGAGGCTGCAGCACCACATGGCAGGAGGCAGGAGGCCAAGAGAGGCAGAAGGGGCTGGACTACTGAGTGGTGCTCGGGTCTCACCGGGGCTCAGGGTGCCAGGAAGGCTCTACCAGCCCTGGGGGAATCCAGGTGGCCAGGAACAGGGTGTCAGTTGTCCTCTACATTCTCAACCATGTGGACATTTGAAGAATGACAGGGCAGCAATGCTGAGGTCATGTGGCTGTGCCTCAAGGAGGATTCCAAGACACTTGATCCACACAGAGAGTCCCTGCTTTCCCTGGGTCTTTGAGCACAGCAGGAGGATGGGAGGTCTGGATCACAGAAGACAGATTAGACAGAGAAAGCCCATGGGGACACTGGCTGGTCCTTCTCCAAGGACCCTCAAAAGATTGGGATACACAGGAAACCCTGTGGACTCAGCCCATGACAACTGAAAGTGAGGACAGAGCCTGGGTTTCTCCCTGCCCACACTAGGGCCCTGTGCCCACCACAGATGGCAGCAGCATGTGCACCTGAGGGCTCTGTGCCAACTGGATGCTCCTGAGCTGAAGGAGGCCCTCACAGGGAGGCACAGCCTTCCCCCTGCAGGGAGCCTCTGAGGCCCTCAGCTGGACGCCTCCCTGGAGAGTAGGTGGCAAAGAGGGGAGAAGACACACAGCACATTTCCAATGCAGGACAGTTCTGAGGACCTCACCAGGTGTGTGCACCTGGGAACTGGAGAAGGGTCAGGACAGCAGTCATGTCCAGGGTGAGAGCAAAAGACCAGATAACCAGTCACTCTTGCCACACATGAACTGTTGGACAGAGTGAACCAGCACTCATGCTTCTGTGTGATTTTACATCTGCACCAGAGAGTTAGCACAGCCACCTCCACCATATGATTATGTGTTTATATTAAATAAACTAAGATAGTGGACTCTAAAATCAAATTAGAAGAAATTCTTCCCTCCTGAACGCTCTTCTGTCCACCATGCTGCCCATGACACTCCCATCTGCTCTCAGACCTGTTCTACCTGGGCCTCCACCCAGAGCTGCTATATAGCACGAGGACATGCAAATAGGGCCTCCCTCTGCTCATGAAAACCAGCCCACCTGACCCTGCAGCTCTGCACAGGAGCCCAGCCCTGGACTCCCAGCTCAGCCCACTCAGTGATCAGGACTGAACACAGCTGCTCACCATGAAGAGTGTGCTCAGCTGGGTTTTCCTGGTGGCTGTTTTCAAAGGTAACTAATGGAGAACCAGAGATATTGAGTGTGTGAGTGGAAGGAGGGAGAGAAAGAGTGGATGAGTGATAGTGTCCTGACCAGGCTGCCTCTGTGTTTGCAGGTGTCCAGTGTGAGGTGCAGCTGGTGGAGACTGGGGGAGGCCTGGTGCAGCCTGGGGGTTCCCTTCGACTCTCCTGTGTAGCCTCTGGATTCACCTTCAGTGACTACAACATGGACTGGGTGCGCCAGGCTCCAGGGAAGGGGCTGGAGTGGGTTGGTCTTATAAAAAACAAAGCTAATAGTTATAGCACAGTATACGCTGCATCTGTAAAAGACCGATTCACCATCTCCAGAGATGACGCCAAGAACACACTGTACCTGCAAATGAGCAGCCTGAGAACCGAGGACTCGGCCACCTATTACTGTGCTAGAAACACAGTGAGGGGACCTCAGTGTGAGCCCAGACACAAACCTCCTGCAGGGCGTCCAGGGCCAGCAGGGGGCGCTCAGCACACAGCGAGCTCAGGGTCACCCAGGAGCAGGTACCGAGGGTGTGGGGCAGATTTCCTCTCTCTGGGGGCCTCTCTTCTCCATGATCCAGCTTTCTAGGAGAGCTCTCTGGACATATTTTTTCTACTAATCTCTTATGTCTCTGAAGAGAACAATTTGTGCTTTTAATTTACACTTTCTTTTTTCATTGTTGCACCATAATTATAAATAATATTGCATTTCAATTGGACACAAATCTCTCCACTTCTGTCTCCTGCCATCTACCTTTCCCTCCCTCCTCTCTACACCTCCCTCCTGACCCTTTTTCCCTTTCTTTTCTAGACAGATCTTTTCTATAATTTGGTTTCATTAGTGCCCCTTAGAGCACATAAAGGGGACATCCTCTGCCATCCTCACACAGGACACAGGAATGCTTCGTCAGTGTCATTCCACTGCTTGTCGCATTTCTGTCCCCCTACCTCACCCTTGATCCCCTTCCTGTCCTCCTGCTCCCTCCTCTGTTTCCAGGGGACTCCTCCCAGGACTTTCCCCTACTGTGATCTGCAATTCACATTTGAGATTAAACACTTGACATTTCTCCCTCTGAATCTGGCTGAATAAACTTGATATTCTCCAGTTCCATCCATTGACCAGGAAATGCCATATTTTCCCTCTTCCCTGTGGCTGAGTGAAACACTGTTCTGTGTATACACCA